GAGGGGCTCTGTAAGGAAGTCTGAAGGAAGGGGCAGATTTTTTCCGGCTGCGTACTTTCAAATTCTAGCTGGTTCCTCCATTCTAACCTACCCTAACTTTAAGATGTTTAGGAAGTCCTCCAGCCATCTATTTAAATTGAAGCAGTTGGGCTTTCTGACTTTCCAGTTCATAAGAACGAGGCGTTTAGTTGAAAGGCATGCTAGGGCTATAAGTTTACTTGCAAATGTTGATGTTATGCCATTGAGCGGGGATCCCAGCAAGCATGTAGCTGGAGTTAAGAGTATCTCTATGTTCAGGATCTCAGCGAGAGTATCTCCAACTACGTCCCATAGACATTTTACAGCCGGACAGGACCAAAGACAATGTAAAAGGGTACCCACTTCCGCACAACCATGCCAGCAGAGGCCCGAGAGTGTGCGATCCATCTTTTTGAGTCTACAGGGTGTGATGTATACTGTATTACTCTAAACCGGACACACTTGGAGATTAATGTTGAGTTCGACCAGATTCTGTCCCACTCAACTGGGGTAAGGGTGATGCGTAAATCCTGCTCCCATATCTTTTGTGACTGCAGATTAGTATTGGCAGTTGAGGTGAGGAGAAGTTTATATATACCTGAAATCATTCCTTTTTGTTTGCAAGTCTTTTTAGGTTCCTATCAAGGTGTTCATGACAACCTATATTTATACCTTTTGATGTTAAATTTGTAATATTTGATTGTAATTGCATATAGGAGAGGAAGAGGGATTTATTCAGATTAAAATGTTCCATCAACACTGTGAACGGAGTTATGATATTGTTTTTTACTATTTGCCCAATGTGTTGTATGTCATGTGCTTGCATATGTATATTATTCAATGGGTTACCGCCCGCTGTGAATATTGGGTTTTTCCATAATGGGCATGAAGGGAGGGAAATACCAGTGATGCCTCTTTTGTACAGATTTAACCACACTGATAGAAAATTGAATTAATGGATTATTCAGACTGGATTTGGGGGAGTACCATAATGAATTTAAAGATATTGATTTATTGTTTTCTGTAATTATTTGTCCTTCCAGCCGGTCCCAGTTAGCTTTTTTCGGTGTCGCTCCATAACCCCATACTAGGGAATCTGGCATTATATGAGAGATAATATAAGTATAAATTGGGTACCCCCAGTCCACCTGTTCTCCTCGGCATAGACAACTTTTTATGGTTGATTCGTGTTTTTTATCCTTCCATATGAATTGAGAGAATATAGTGTTTATTTCTTTAAACCAATATTGTGAGGGGGGATTGAGGATAGGCCAATCTTGGTAGGACATTCATTTTTAACACATCCACCCTTCCCCACAGCGATAAGGGTAAAGAAGTCCATCTTCTCAAGTCATCTTTAATAGTTCTAAGTAAGCCTGGACCATTCATTTCGAAAGTCTTGTTACAGTAATTGGTGATCTGATGTTTATGCCCAAGTATCTCAATCCATCAGCTTTCCAAACAAAAGGAGCAGAGCTTAAGTGATTAGAGTGTGTCTGACAGTTTAGTGGCATGGCTTCACTTTTACTCCAATTTATTTTATATCCTGAAAATAAGCTAAATTCTCTAATAACCTCTAGCACCTTATATAGTTTAGTGGAGTTCTTATCTGATGATTGACAGACCAGCGGGCTGACTGGACGTTTGTCAAACTATAGGCTTGTTGGACTGCTCTGTTGGAGGGAGCGAGTTAGCATGAATGAGAGGTCTACCTGATTCTATGTCTGGAAAACAACCTTGCTTCACTGATTGATGGATGGCTGAGTGACTGCTCTGACTGACTAACTAACTGAGTCATTGATACACGAGTGAAAGAGCAAGTCCACAAATTTGATGGGTCAAGTGAAAGGATACAGCATTTGGATTTCGGAAGTAATCTAGGGGATCGACAGCCATATTTCTTGGTGATTTGTCTTGATGAGTATTTTGTATGTGTATTCACAGTTGTCAAAGTTCTGCTTCTTGATAAACTTTATTTTACATTTAGTTTAATGGAGGTCAGAAACCGATAGAAGGAGGAAAAGGATAGAAGACCTGGCCAAGAGGTTTACTAATCATAAAACAAAGACAAACCATATTTAAATATAGAAGAAGTAGAAAAGGGTATTTCACAATCAATACAATTAGAAGCTATAGAAAAAGATTAACAGTTTGAAAAAGTTACCAAAAAAAAAAGCACTAACATGATCTCATCCCCTCACGTCATATTTTGTAGCATGGTCCAGTGTGAAAAGAGATTATTAAAGCAATTTGCAGTTTAGTCAGTTTCCATGACTCACCTGTTCGAGCTTCCCTTCAAAGAATGACCCATCAAAAGCAGAGTCACACTGGGAAATGTCCACCAAGAGATCTGTGTATGTTTATCATAGGTTTCAGACAGGACATCCATTTGATTTGCAATCACTTTCATCTACAACAAGTCAGAGAGACTCAGAGGGTTACTGGCTTTGTGGTTCAATGTGTGAAATAGTGTCCTGTAGTTGGATATGATCAGTCCATTAAATTATACCAGTGCTAATCATTGGTTGGAAGAGGCCTGCTGATGTTCTTTTAACCTAATTAAAGAAGTATAGATTGACAACATCTACATATTATCGTATGTGGTCACTAGACATTCATTCACAGCGAAGTGGTAACTGTTTTTGGGTCTAACACCTGAGTTTTAATAGTAAATCAATTTAAGCTACATTATTCAGTAAAGTGAAATATCCTCAGACTATTCAGTTGAGATTTTACACTTTGTCACTCTGAGTGGTTGGTAATGACTCAGGGGCCAACGATAGAACAACATGAGCCATTAATAGAAAGAGGTGTACAAAGAAAAGTCAAATGATTGTCTGACTGACCGGTTGCAGAGACCCCTCATTTGATTTGAATATTTGTTGAAAGGATTTGTGCAGAGCCCATCTCAACGCTGTAACACTGATAGCTGTTGAGGGCAAGCAAACAACCTTTGAATATTCTGAGGATGTGGCTTTGATCACACTAATTAAGAGTGACGTGTGTGTGTGTGTGTTTTGCTTGCGCTTGTGCAAACGTGTGAGGGGAACAGATAGAGGTGTCACATTCCATTTGGCGGCCAAAGTCTAATTACTGTAACACATCAACAGGACGGCACAATGTGATTAGTGCAGGAAGCGTTGGATTGTCACCTTGAGATTGTCATTGTGATTCACGGCTGATTATGTTTGATGAAGAATTGCTGAAACAGAAGTGAACAGAGCTGAGAGAATTGGTGACTTGAATGCTAATATGCTGTTCATCAAGATTATCTGCAACTACAGATTATCTGACAATGATTGTTTATGGTACCTGTTTCTTTCCTGCATCTTCTTCCCTCTAGCATCTAACTGCACCTACTTCAAGTTCTTCACCACAGGGGAAAATGCTGTGCTGTTTCAAAAGACAACAAGGAAAAGTGAGTCATGCTGCTCTTATGGCCTTTTTGATCCACTGTCCAACCTTTCCGCCCACTCCCATCTTTCTTTATTCCTTTTCCTCTTCTCCATCTCTCCTTTTTGCTGCCTCCCTCCGCCCTCTTTGTCCTTTCCCTTGTCTGATGCTCTTTCTTTGCTCTTCAGTCCCCTGTCTGTCGTCTCTCCCACGATCCATCCCTGTCATTTTCTCTCCGTCTCCCTTCACCTCCTCGCTGCACTCTTTCAGGTTGGCCATTGTCTGCTCTATGAGTGTTTGAAATCTATTCCGCCTACGCTGCAATCAAGTGTCTCCGAGCTGCCGTCTAACCTCTCATTTCACTGGCAGCTCTATAATGTATTAAGATCCCACAGTACCCTACGCTGAATGAAGAAAGACAGATTACATTAAAATGTCATTGTTTGCTGGTGCCACATCGCTGTCATGCTGGATTTCATTTGTTATAATTTATTGTGTCTTACTTTATTTAAATCTTCTTTTAAGATTGAAATGACACACATTCTTACCCGATGAAATACAACGACAAAATTCTTGTTACTACAGTATAATAAATTAACTTTAACAAATGTAATAATGTGGGAGACCTTGTCAACAACCAGCTGACATCATATTATTATTATTATTATTATTATCATGAGTTCTGAGGGCAAGCTTTTGACATGAGTGTCATTCAGGGTTAGGGTTAGCGATTCTCTTTTGTATTTCCATATGATTGGACCAACCCATTTTGATTTTGATTGTTATCATTTTGGAAGCTTTGTGCATCAGCTCCTCTGCGAGCGCCCATGGCCAATGGTTACCCATAATGCTCTTCTATGCGTAGATCTACAGAGATGCTTAAATGTATCCTTACATCCAGTAAATATTATATCTGTTTTTAGCAACTTTCAGACTGAAACTATTGAAAAAAGGAGCAGGATAAAAGGAAGTCCAGTTAAAATATATCTTAGAGATTTTAAGTTGATCAAATACCAAAACTGAGCAGAGCATAGTTAGCACATTTTACAGCTTGGAATTATAACCTTTTTTTATCTTAACAATTGCAAGCTTACCAGTTGTTATACAAATGAGTCCACCAGGAATATGCATTGGCACATATTTGATTGGTCAATGCAATGCACAAGATTTATGTTGAATTGTGTTGCAGCAAATCAGAATCCGAATCTGAATACCTTTATTCATCCTAAAAATTGCTTTCTGTTTTCTATGTTCCTTATACAGTACAAGAATTGTAACAGTTTATGATAACAACACTACCTTCTTTCCCGTGCAGATCTGAACGTAGCGGCAGCCATGTTGGCCCTGTTCAGCCTGTTCCTGATGGTGATGGGGGCCATATGCATCACCATGGCTCTCAGTAAAGAAATCATTTTCTTCCTCAAACCAGCGTCTGTCTGCTTTATTATGTCAGGTCAGTGAAGGCATCAAAACAGGGCAACCTTGGGGATTTTAGTACACAAGAACTTTTTTGTTTTGAATGCTAGAGGTTGCTAATTGTTTGTCTTCCGCAGGTGTCCTGGTGCTTCTCTCTCTGATTGTTTTCCACCAGTCTGTCCTTGCCTTCCTGGCCAGCGACCACACGGTCCCGCTGCAGCACAACCTCTCCTGGTCAGTGTCGTGTGTCGGCTGTGCTGGGGGCGTGCTAATCGTGGGTGGGATCCTCTTCCTGCTTCTGGCGCTGCCCTACAGCCCCTGGCAGAGGTGTCTCCCTCAGAAGAACAGCAGTAGCTAGTGGCCTGGAGGTGGTGTTGCACTTTATCTGCCCTTTCTGTTTGTACAACACAATCTCACTCCCTGATAGTCCAATAGCGACGCTTGGTCAGGGTCCTTTGGCGTGCAGTTGTGACGCACCGAGTCTCCTTCAGCTTCATAAACGGACGCAAAGAGCTTTCAACTGATTGCAATATATTCCCATCGGCGGCGGTATTTGACGCTCATGTAAGCACCGCACCTGTTTATGTTGGCAGCAGTTAAAGGCAATGTGAGCGTCCATTCCCATTGGATAACGAAGAATTTTAAACCCGGAAGTAAGTATTCTCCTTACTGTCGATTGATTTTACAGTGATATCTGCACTACTCATCAACTCAAAAACACCAGTTTATCCTTGTTAATTACACAACATTGATTGGTTTAAAGTGTACAATGCTTTTGTATTTTTCCCCTTCGATTCGGGGAAACAAATATGTTTTCGGCTTTTAGGATGGCAGAATACACTACACTACCCATAATCCTCAGCTATCGCTTAGGACTACACCATGCGCTTTGCTTGACAAACTCTGTGATTAGTCCTCAAGCTCTGTGATTGGATGTTGGAGTGGCAGTGCGCGAAGGTTACGCCGAACGTCAAACAGCACTTTGAAATGGAATGAAACCCATTGACGGCACACTATCCAAAACAGGACTCGAACGTGTCCATCCCCCCCCCCCCCTTGTATTGGTCATGCTACATAGCTACAGCTTAGTTATGACGATGAAAGCCGACGATCTTAGGTCACAGGCTCCTCCAACAGTGCTACACGATAAAACAGATACACAGAAACAATTTGATTTCAAAATTGCAGGTGTTTAATAGTCTTATGGCCTGTTGGATGAAACTGTCCCTGAGTCTGGTGGTGTTAGTCCAGATGCTGCGGTACTGCCTGCCAGACGGCAGCAGACAGAACAGTTTGTGGCTGGGGTGATGGGGGTCTTTTATAATCCTGAGGGCTTTCTTTAAGGTTAACCTTGTATTTTAACTCCACTACATTTATTTTAGTTACTTTGCAGATTGTGATTAATGATGTGAAATATAAACAACCCTTAAAGCAGACTTTAGTTACACCTGAGTAGAATTCAGTGAAGTTGATTGTCAAGTGCCAACAATCAGGCGAGATATTTGATAGTGGGTGCTTGAAAAGACTAAACAAATGTATCTGCAGATCCTTATAAAGCATATTCATTACTCGTTATTCTCTACTAATAGTTAATTAAAAACTGTATATAATTGCTATTTTGCACATCCCTTTCAAGCTTTCAAGATTTTCTAAGGTTTATTGGCATATCATATACACAACTACAGTGTAGTTATGCAATGAATGAAAATTGGGTCGCAGGTTCCTCAACAGTGCATTACAAGACATCTATCAATATGCGTGTACCTCCATCCTTAAACTGTCATATTCTGCACATTTCTTATTCTATCTACATACATCTTATAATAGTATAATAAATATGTATAATATTGGTTAAAACAAGTGCTTAAACATAGTTAACATTGCAGGAAAGTAGATTGTCAAGTCCCAAAACAAACCATGCAATATATTAGATTTTAAGTACTTTGTCAGGCTTAATATTTATCTGTAGATAGATACCCCCTAAGCTTTTTGCTTACATGTATTTAAAAGAAGACCTTAACTTAAAGTATTCTTTACTGTTTAAATAAAGCCTAATTAGTTTGTCTGTTTTGCAGATCCTGCTATTAATATCTTTGTACATCCGGCACTTAACTGCTTTATTCTAGATATAATTTACAGTATCTTCTTGATATTTTCTATTCTATATTTCTATCATTGACCTTCTACTTTCCCCCTATTTTGTATGTACTCTTAATATTTAAATGTTTTCATCAAATATAACACATGCAACAAAACATGCAACAGACCTTAGGCAAGGCAAGGCAAGCAAGTTTATTTATATAGCACCTTCAACACAAGTGCTTTACAAAAATGAAATACATTAAGAAAAAGGCATTTTAAAACAGTCATTATAAAGCAACACAATCTACCTGCATTGCAATTACTCTAAACGTGTAATAACGTGCTTTAACCAGTAGGTGGTTTGGGATAAAAAGCTGTCAAGTTTACAGTGTTAACAAAATAAAATATACTGCTGTTTCCGGTTTCGTTTACGACGGATATATTTTGTTATTGTTTTGATATTTGTAACAGACTCACATTCCTGCTGATTTGGAGTCCCCTCTCCAGTCACCTCTCAAGTCTCCTCTCGAGTTCCCTCTCAGGTCCCCTCTAGAGTTCCCTCTCAGGTCCCCTCTCGAGTCTCTTCTCGAGTCTCCTCTCAAGCCACCTCTCAAGTTCCCTCTCGAGTCCCCGCTCAAGTTCCCTCTCGAGTCCCCTCTCAAGTCACCTCTCGAGTTCTCTCTCAAGTCCCCTCTCGAGTCCCATCTCAAGTCACCTCTCGAGTTCCCTCTCGAGTCTCCTTTCAAGTCACCTCTCGAGTTCCCTCTCAAGTCACCTCTCGAGTCCCCTCTCAAGTTCCCTCTCAAGTTCCATCTCAAGTCCCTTCTCTAGTCCCTACTCAAGTCCCTACTCAAGTGCCGTTGGAGGTTCCGCTGGAGGTCCTGCCAAATCACTGTCCTGTCCCGTTGGGGGTCCCGCCGACTACTCTTCTGCCGGGGGTCCTGCCAACTCCATGTCCTGTCCCGTTGGGGGTCCCGCCGACGACTCTTCTGCCGGGGGTCCTGCCAACCCCATGTCCTGTTCCGTTGGGGGTTCCGCCGACGCCTGCTCCGTCATGGGTTCCACTGACACCAGCCCACGTTCCGTCCAGGGTCTCGTCTACGTTTGACCCGCCAGGGGTTCCACCAGCTCCTGCCCGTCCTCGAGCCCGGCCCCCTGACTTTCCCGGCCGCGGTCCTCGCCCTCGGGCCCTGCCCCCTGACTCTTCCAGTCGCTGCCTTCGCCCTCATGCTCGGCCCCCTGAGTTCGCCCGCTGTGGCCTTCACCCATGAACTCTGCCTTGCCCCCGGGCCATCCGCCCAAGATCACCTTCTCGAACTCTGCCTTGCCCCCGGGCCGTCCGCCCGAGACCCCTTCCGGGTCATCCGCTGTGCCCCCGGGCCCACCGCCCGAGACCCTTTCCGGGTCCTCCGCTGTGCCCCTGGGCTGTCAGCCCAAACC